TATATCTGCTTGACCAACCTCTTTCCAAAACTACCTTGGTTTATGCCTTAGTTGGCTATCTTCATACAGTCCTTGACATCTGAGTATCTGATCGGTGGTGTCGATACTGTTACAACAGGCCAAAATATGATAAGAATTTTGTCACCATTTCCATAAACAGGATTAACATTACCACATATCGATCTTTTCATTCTTCCTAAATGTACGTACACCGATACAACCCCATCTCCAGTGTTACCATTCCAACCGACACCATCACTGGATTTAATACCACGTTGGCTACCTTTCGAACTACTATAATTGCGTAATCGCCCTAGTATTGCCTTAATCAATGTATTGTCCATCGTCATTATCATAAACAGAAAATTCAGCCATCCTCAGGATCATGCTAACACATATCTTCGTCGTCACCATTATGTCCATCTATATAGTATCATCTAGAATTTGTATGGCTTTCCACAAGTACTCCATCTTTTTAATTTTTTTTCGCCAGAGATCTTGGAGTGAAAGCAGTGCTACCGCTCGACGATTAAGTGGCGGAGCATCACGTTCCAGTGACCTAGGTCCACATCAACTGGTACTGGCTTTACAACCTGACCTTAGTCTAGGACTTGGATCAGATTCTGTCACCAATCCTTCGTTCTCATCCTCGGCTACTGGTCTTCCCGCTAGCGTAGACGATCGAGATGCTGGATTTGTGTGGCGAGAATGGCGAGGCCCCGTGGTACGAACCTGGAAGATGGAAAACTACCTGATACGAGTTGATCGGCCATGTCTACGACGAATTCCCGGATGGTTCTTGCCAGATAATATTCCAAATAGCGGATCAAGCTCAGCCAGTGCCGAATCATTTGAGTAAGTAATCTTGCCAATTTATGTGTAATTTTAGCGGCCAATGTTTTCAACATTGTTGGGGAGACTTTCATTTCGTATGAATGGGCATGAAAAAGATATTCATAGGTTGATCTCACCTGAAGATAACGGCTGATTCCCTTTGTACTCTAGCTGTCTGGCTTCATATTGACATAGTCCACGAAACTTCCTACCTCGTTTCGAGTGGAAACGCGCTGATCTTTCGTCCATCATATGATAGCTATCACCAGAGCTGGTACTCTTTCTTGTAAAAGTATCACGTTAACATTAGGTCAAGAAGAATATCCAGCTATATCTTACCTCATATATACTTATAAGTAGGAAAAGTAAATTTATAGGCCTAGATAGATATTTAATAT